AATTGCTGACCAGAACAGCCACGATGACGACGAGAACAAGAAGCAAGAGCCATTTGCAGAATTACAGCCGGCTCCGTTGCAGCCATGGTGGATCGGCCCAAGATGGCTGCTTTGGCCGCTCGGCTTTACTTGATGCGTCACATGATGGTTGCAATACCTTGGCGACGACGATAACGACTACTTTCCAGCTCTTCGTTCCTGCCGTTGGTGCTGCTGCCGACACTACTACTTACTACTTACTTACTACCACAGCCGCCGACACGAGTGTTGCTGGCGTTGGCGAGGACCCAGACGCTCGTGGCGCTGGTGTTCCTGCTATTACAATTCCGTCCACTATCTAAACCACACACATTCTCGTGTTCGATTCGCACAAGGTGTGGACCTCACTGTGGTGCTTGGAAGCCACATGCATAAAATCATTTCGGATCATGTCGCTTTGTCCCCCAAAATTCTCAGGCCGCGGCGTCCTCAAGCAAGGGCTCAGTTCCTGCAACGGGGCTGCAACTGTGGGGGTCGTGCAAGACCAGCGAATGACATCAGAACAGCAGCGCTCCGGACGTTTCTCTCCGGCGTGGGCCAAACTGCGCAACCTCTGATGCGTGCTTGTAGTGTTTGCATTGGTTGGGAGGAACTGGTCGCATGGGCTCGCGCGCAGAGGCGCAAAGGCTCCGCTGGGCTATCACAGCCAGCAAGCAATGGGATGAGAGTATAGGACGTCAGATACGGAGATTTCATCGACGGTCAAGATGATTCTGAGGCAGTCTGGACATGTCTGGACTTTGCTTGGGTATCACCACAGTGAGAAGAGGAAGAGACCACGGCGCCACAAGCTAAATGCTCCAACCTAAGCACCACAGGCCATCCGAAAAACACCACTTGAAGGGTTGTTAATCTTGACAGATAGTCAGACATAGCGGTGCACATGATCGCACTATTTCGTCTTAACTGAGCCTGGCCCTGACCAATCGCTGCACTCGTTGCTGGAGGAAGAGGCCTGCTGGAGGTGGTGCCTGGAATCTACTTGGGCAACAAACAGGCTTGGGGATTGTGGCTTTCTAGCTTTGGGACGGGAAACCGAGCAACCTTTACAAACGGTGTTTATCTTCGCGTGGGCGATGCTGATGTCGAGCAACTATGCATACCATACGTGCCACTTGCCCAGCATTGAAAAGATCGCAGGGCTTTTGTTGCAGATGCATTCAGGCGGCTGCACAGGCCGAGCTTCTTGCCCTCAATGGCATCTCGGCGGCTCTCATGCTGTTCGATGTTGTCCTTTGAGTCCTTTGAGCCCTTGCCTTGTTGGAGCACAGTTCAGCTTGCGCCCACAAGACCTTGTTTGAAGCTCGCAAGCATGACGTACCGAAGTTCTAGGTTTTTTGGCCAGTGTGAACACCTAAGAATGACTGTGGTTGTGGAAGCTGACTACATTCAGGTATCACCGCTGTTTGCGCGATTGGCGCGAGGACATCCTTTGCTGCCTTGTTTGGGAGCTTGCCTTGCTGATGCATCAGCAGAACTATTACACAGAACGCGAAAGTTGATACGCATGGAAGCAGCGCAACTTCTTCCAAGCTTTGCGCTTTACGGTTTCCGACTGCGGGCTCCCACGGTAGGGCGTGCCTGACTTGGGTCGTGGAAGGCCGAGCTCAAGGCCTTGAGCCTTGGGGTCGTTCATAATTTTGGGGATGTTGAAGGCTCTCAGGCTTTTGAGGCAGGAGTGGTGCCTGCATGAAGCGCGAGAAGAGCGAGTGTCGACTGCGAGGCCCGACAACCATCCTGGTCTCGTCTACCACCATGTCTCAGTTGAGGACTGTCCGTTGCCACAACCCGTCATCAAGCTGCAGGTGATGTTTTCACTTCGAGTTTCTGCGTGTCACAGATATACGTACAAAAGACTGCTTAAGGCTTAAAGCTAGCGGCATTTGTTTTTGCACAGTCACGCACCGCCGCAATTTCAGTCCCGGTATTGGTTTGGGGCGAGTGGTAGTTCTCTTCGATGCCGACTCGGGAAAGGGTGTTTTTGCGGGAGAGATGACGCGGTTTAGCTCGCCTGTTCCGATCCATGACCCCACCCCCTCCGGCTTCCCCAAAAGAGTTTGAAGCGACTCCGGGTTGTGCACTTGCTCCGTTCATTCCACTCATCCATTATTTTCCGCCCATTCTTGGATGCATTCATGTATCCATTCATTCATTCATTCCTCCATCCATCCATTCATCCCCTATTCATTCATCCATGTATCCATCCATCCATCCATCCATCCATCCATTCAGTTGTTCACTGACTGACTTAATCCCTACCTCCCTCCCTCCCTCCAAGACTACTCTTTCTTGCTCTCATTCATTCATGCTTTCATCCATGCAGTCGTTGATATTCAATATTCCTGTCTTTTCACTAATTTCTTTCATTCCTTCCTCTATGCCTTCGTTGATTATTCCTTGCTTCATTCATTCAGTAATTCCTTTAGTTGCTCATCCATACACTCAAGCATGCTACGTGCCGTTTACTACATAGGTCTTCGCTCTTGTTTATCGAGCTTTCCCCATAGGCTCCGAGGCCCGAATGCACCGAGTGACTCTTTTCTGGACAGGATGACGGAACCAGCTCCATGCTGCGATTTCTGGAGGCTCCGATACTCAGACTCTCCTTCGAGACAAGATCCACGAGGGAATGTCACGAGCATGCAGTGGTCAAGCTCTGAACTTCAGATGTCGCGTGCCATCGCGCAGTCAGAAACCGCGGTTCCCAAGTAGTGGTTTCAATACGGAAGCTGGACTCACAACCGAAACCAAGCATCAAAACATATCAACACGCATCATGTGGAGAAACGCAAAGAACAGGATACCTTGGCAAGGCAAGCTGCGACTTCATCCACGCACAAGCACGTCACGGAGCGGTTCTCGTGCACTGCAAGGTCTCGATGCAAGCATTCCGGTAGATCAGGCTTGGAAGCACCGGATCAAGCAGAGCTTGAAGTTGGATGTGCCCACAGCCCAAAGCTCATGACAGTCGAAAGGACGAGCAGGTCAAAGGAAATCTTTCATGGGCAGGGTGGCATCAGCCGCTCTCCTTCGCTACTGGTGGCATATCTAGTGACCCTAGGCTGCAGACGTGTTTCCATGCCCGGGAAACTATGCCGTGATACTTCATTTCATGCTCGGGAAGCTGTCGGTGAAGGATTTCGACGGGCGTTATGACGCAAAATCCGAAGGGTGCTTTCTCGCGAAAACCCATTGACCGTCGATACACTTCATATTCTGACTTGGCTGACATCGCAAGTCCGAAGGACCCCTGCCCTAGCAGTGCTCCGGCACGCTAAGCCCCGCACTCGCGATACTCAACCTTGAAGGCAGACATGCAAAGCACGGGCACGGCCACGCACCCATCTCAGGAGGTATGAGCGGCTGGCTCTTTGCGAGGCTTTCGAGGTCTGCAGTGCCTCGCTAAGATTGCATGCTGCATGGCACCTCAGCAGGGAGCGTGGGAGCCGGAAACCGCTCTTGAGGCCTGGCGCAGCCGGCGGCGCGCTGCCCGGAGAACTTCCAGTGCGATCTCGAGGCCGCTAAGCTCGGATCTCCCGTCCGTCCGTCACGTCCTCGGAAGCTGTGGCCCTTTTGGTGAGCCGGGCTGCAGTTTTAGTTCGAGCCTGTTGTAGCGGGGCAGAGGACGCCATGTTCCAGACGCTTGCTTTTGCGGCTTTGGCCAGTGTAGCTTCGGCAGACTGCGCGATCCAGGCAGAGGCAGCAGAGGCCGCCGAAGCCTCGCTCTTTCAGCTGTCGCGAGCTCGGCAGCCCGAGCTGCCCCCCGCCTTTGGGGCTATCGGGACTCTTCTCCGTGATGATCCCGTGCACCAGGGGACCTACAACCTCATTTCTCGCTTCGTCCGGGCCTTTTACGAAGCTTGTCAGGTGGTGGGTCTCTACACTTCTACCGTGGAGACCTTTCCTTTGACCGTGGTGAAAATGAACAACTTCAGCTCTTTTGGACTTGGTGTCACGAGCTACTGGCCCATCTTGAGCCCGGATTTCTTCGAAGCAGACACTTACTTGCCATACACATCGGATGAGTACACTTTCCTCATCCGATGGCAAGCAGACCTGGATTTACGTATCGGGCTGTTCGCTGCCTCAACGATCCTGTACAAAATCACGCCGATGGCAATCGCTTACCACACTTACACTGCCAGCGCCGCCCGAATCAGCATTCAACAAGGCCCGCAGATGCCATTTGTACAGGGCTACGGGGACAACTGGCAGGATGATGGTTTTGCAGGGCAGCTAGTGGGGAACACGTTCCTGGCGTGCATGCTGGAGAAGTCTGGAGATGGCTGGGCTTTGGACCTGTCAGGTGCGGGTACTTCAGCAGCACCTGTTCAGGTGATGAAGCGCAAGGCTGTTTCGGTTGCGCCTTCCAGTTTGCTGAAAGCCATTGGCCACTTCAAGTGCGCAGACACGAAATGTGCAAACGCCCGAAGTTTGCAGGTGGTCGCCATTGAAGTTCAAGACCCTTCATCCGGCATGATGCGGTTCTCACCTGAGGATGGTGCGCAATGGAGTCTTGCCAAGACCTGCTTGTACGCTTTAGCCATCTTCGTGATAGAATGCTATCACACGGGCATCCATCTCTTCGCCGGCGCAGTCACCTCAGCCATCCGGAAAGCCGTTCCAGCTGGCACTTCCTTGGGCCAAGCAGTGAGCCCGAACACCCTTCAGACCATTTTTGCACTCTTCGAGCAGGCACACACCTTGCTTGGCATGTCAGATTGTCAGACGAACCCTACAGGATTCAACTCTCCGCAAAGCTCGAAGCAAACCTAAAGCTCTTTCCCGAAGAGCCTCGCCCGGCCAGGAGTCAACCCGAACCCCCCCGATAGTTCCTTTCTGCGAGTTGGCAGTTTGGCAGGCAGCCATCCTGCACTCCACTCATGGCTCCGTCTTCTCGGGAACGGTGTGGTCTTGTAACATCACCGCAGTTTGGGCTGTGACCAGGGAAATGAGCCAGTACTTTCTGAACACGCCGCCACAGGACATCTTGGGCATGAGCGACGATAGCCCAGATTGGTGGGCCGGGAGATCCTTCGCCTTCATTGAGCCCATCTCGACTTTTGCAAGCTTCGCGGCAGAGCAGGCAGTGAACCAGGCTTCCGAGCAATCCGTCCTGCAGAATCTGCAAGAAGAGTTGGCATCGATCGGCATTTGGACTCCTCAGAGCTCCTTGAACGTGACTTCTGCGGAAGGCTTGGCCGCTCTTGTCAGGAACTTCCTCTTCGTGGCCGGCATTTGTCATTCGCACATGTACCTCACTCGTGAGGTCTTCACGCCTCTTGCTGGCTTTACTGACACGGAGCCGTTCCTTCCCTACTTGAGGAGAAAGCATTATCTTTTGGGCTTTTGGGCTATTGTGGAGCTGTGCTTTCCAACTGTTCCAGCAACAGTGAACGAGATGATGATAGTCGCTTACGCCACAGCCTCTGGATTCACGAAGGGAGTGCCAGAACTTGGCGATGGGAAGTATCCAAACAGCACAGAGCTTAACGGTGCCGTGGCCAGTTTTCAGCAGGGTTTGAAACGGTGCCGGCAGGAAGTGTACGAGATGTTCGGCGGGTTTTACAACAAGACTTTTGTTCCAGGGTATCTGTATCCCGTGGATGTGCCCAAGCCATTTGGCTACGCCATCACACAGACTGCATATGTTTGAGTGCTTCAAAGGTAAGCACTTGCTCTTCTGCCTTAGGGTGTTCCTGGTATCATTTTAGAAGCACGATGTACAGCTGGAGTTCGTTCGTCATCAGCTTCAGATCACTCCGAATCGACCCTGCCGGCAGTTTCAAAATTGCTTTCCCGATGCTTCAACGAGACCATCACTCGAATCAACGGATGCTTTCGGCATGCATTTGGGCGCGTGCTCTTACGCGGGGGCTTGTCGAATTACTTGACGTTGTGGGTATGCCCTAGTCATGCTCACATGCGCTAGCCTATCGACGAGGAATCAGTTTGCTTCTCTTGAAAAGGCCTGGGCGAAGCAGCTTGAACAGCCTGAGGAGTCTGAGAGCGGAGCTCGGGCTAGCTAGGGCGCTAGCTAGGGCTGTCTCGGGGTACCTCTTTGCTTATCGGTCGAGAGAGTCTCGCTGAAGAGTGACAGTAACGGTTTTCGCCAGATCCAGATCAATTCACAGCACCTCGCAGCTGCATCGGCCATTTCATCGGCGCCTGGGCAGGACGAAATTGCAGAAGGCGGCGGTGCAACAACTGAGGCATTGGATGCCGGTTAAGGTATTACGGCTACCGTGTGCAAACATCTTTCCAGCATTTGTCGGATATTTGTCGGTTTTGGACGTGATGTGACGGCAGTGTTCCGCCACTGTCTTGCTTCTCCCTATGTACAGCAGGCAGCAATCCGACGCCGGACCTTGTACAGATGCGTCCAGCTTCGTCGAGTGAAAGGAGATCGGCTCGAACAGATAGATTTGAGCAGCGATCCATGACTTCGCAAGCTGCCACCCATCTTTAAGTCTTTAAGCCTTAGAAGCCTAGCCTAAAGACCCTATGAGCAACATTGATGAAATCATGTGGTTGTTCATTGATATATTGTTTTATGCGGTATTGAGTCGTCTGGTCCTTTTTGTGTAGCATATTCGCCTCCTTCTCTTCTTTGCGCTTCTCGTCTAGTCTTTTCCATATTGTGTAATCTATTTTATATCATACTACGTTACATCGCATTAGGTCCTATGCTCCGCTATCCTATTGCACCCCTCTGGAACCCCATCTGCGCTCTTGGTATCGGCTCGGAGCCCAGGGTGACCTCAGTGTAGGCCCAGAGCTGGCATTCCAGTAAGGACTCATCAGAAGGATATTTTCTTACTATGATGACATGTCTCTGATACTAAATTCAGATATTCATACGTGCTACAAAGAGCTTATAATGATGCTGTGAACTACCCCAACACTCTGTTCTCATGATAAAGGCCCCCATATTACTACCGAGTGGCATCATACCGGTAAGCAGCGCAGCGGGTCCTTGGAATGCGGTTGCTCCAGGAAGTCCTTGACAACCAACCGGGAAGCGACTTCAGCTCGAAGTGTTCTGTAAAGTCAGACATCGAAGAGGCAGCCCGGATGTCTGTGAGCTTAGCATGTGGAAAGAGTTGGCTCAGCTCCTGTCACCACGAACCCATCACACCAGAAGACCTCATCACGGGGACTCCCAAAGTCCCTGCTGCGGTGCCGCCGATGTCGGACAGCGTTTCCTCGGATCCGGCATCCCCCTCCAGGCACGGTTCTGGGCTCAAGCGTGATGTGCATGTCCATGTACGGCTGATATCTATCCCAGCCTTGCCTGGGACAACCAATCGAAGGTTCAGGAGGAAGTGCACCCATCTTCGAGGGAGAGGGGCGGGGAGCAGCCAGGCGGATGAGTGCATTGATAATAAGAGTGGGAGCGAACTTTATCATTCCAGCATTGTGCAGCTAGGACAGTTGACCATCGTGGGATTCCTGGTTCAGGCCCAGCCGTCCGTCGATGCCAGGTGTGGCAGCTGTCGGCGCAAAGCAGGCGGGCAACAAGGAATTCGGAAGAGAAGCAATTCCTGTCCCAAGACTTGGGTTCAGGATAAGGCTTGCAGCTGGCGAAAACAGTCGCTTGTGCATTGTTCCAATCTTAGGTTGTCATCACTCACAGCCATTCATGCACCTCAACCTTGTCGTCATTGGCAAGCCAGGTCGTGAGGGGACGCCGCCTTTTCCACGAATTCCAGACCGCTGTCACTGCAACATCTGAGCGGGTAGGCCGGGTATCGTGTTGAAGGTGGACTCCAGATGAAATGATGACTTGTCATGATATCGATAGAGTTATGATGTCCCGGTCCTGTTAACGTTATTATCTCGGGAAATAATAAATAATGGGATTATTTTGAGATTGCAGATGGAATCGAGGCACTGGAAAAATATGGGATTGGAATCCCGTGGCTTTGACTTCAATGTTTCTCCGATTTGGTTGCAGGGTGCACTTGGCATCTGATTTTTGTTTCATTTTTTTTCCATAGTTCCCGTGCGGCCCCGATCCATTTCATTTTTTTCAATTTTTGGTTCCGTTTCTTTTCCATTTTTGGTTCCATTATTTTTCCATTGTTTTTTGATTTTTTCCCAAATGCTTCAGGGAATTTGTGTTTTTTCCAGGATGGAGGCCACCTGGGACGGGGCCCAAATCCCACCCCCACGCAATGGAAATAACATGGGAAAAAAAACAAACTCAGAATGCTGGTCCAGGGTGGTCCTTTTTTGAACCTGTCGCCCCTGATGCCCTGGCCCTGACAGTTTGTCTTTGTTTGCGTTTGATTTATTTTTGTTTTTTTTTTCCATGTTTGGTTTTGTTTTTTTTTGGTGTTTGTTCCATTCCCTGTGTCGGTCCTGGTCTCTTGTTTTGATTTTTGGTTCCATTATTTTTTGCATTCTCTTTCCATTTTTATTGTTCGTGGTTTTCATAGAGTTATCAGGCGAGGGGCCACCTTAACGATAGAGATGTGTCCAGGGTGGTTGAAGAGTTAAAGAACCTTGCCCTCTGCGGTAAAGATGAACCTGTGCGCACGCAGCGAGACGTAAGTTCCACATGAGTTCCGATAGAGAGAGGGAGAGAGGGAGAGAGAGAGAGAGAGATAGAGGCATGTTAAACAGCCCGTGAAAGGCGGGCGGGCCTTAGTGCCCAAGGGGCTTAACTCGCCCCTTAAGCCTGGGAGAAGAAGCTATATTGGTCAGGGTTTAAAAGGTGTTCTTGGCGGATGTTGAAGCAGAAATGTGCACTAGGGAGAACACATCCATCCCGGGAAGGGGCCATTCAGACTGTCAGACTCGAGCCTTGGGGAGTTTTGGGGATACCCCGCAGGCCACGGGTTTTCGAGTTCCCAGATCCAGGCAAGCAAGCCGAGACGGTCCCCACACCCCTTGCAAGAAAGCAAGCAAGCAAGAGAGAGGTCTCAAGCAAACTGCTCGTATCCTTTCTTTGGTGCCGGATGCTGTCCTCAGGGGGGGGATGGCAATAGCAGTTCCTTACGCAAGCAAGCGCCCACACAAGCGCTATATATACTAGTATGATACATATACACATAAACATGCAGACACATAGACATGGATACCTTCGTCCCTACACAACACTACATGACACGGAATACAGATAGACATCCAGACGAACTCCCTCTTCCTCTCTCTATGTAATTGATATGTTACAAATACACAAATACTGCTTGTATGCTTAGTAGACATGTGCGCAGAGACAGGTCTTACGGGGTTCGTCAGACTTCTATGGCTTGTAAAGTAAGAGCAGGGAAAGGAGACCACGACAACAGGATGTTGCACGGAAGTCGGTAAGGCCGGGTCCAGCAGAGGCCCACAGGAAGGATCCTGAAGGGGTGAATCGGTTCGATGAGCGCTGTAGGCATTACAGCATGAGGGGACCCGGCAGGTATTGAAAGAAACAGTGGTTGCAGGGCTCGGAGCCATCGCGTCTGCGGGTTTGCGATTTCATTGCTTCGGGGTTTCACCCGCCTGCTTGGCAAACCTTGTCACGTATCGATGTGCAAATCCCGGATGGTGTGCGAGTCTTTGGACATGCTTAGGGGACGTCTGGGTGTTCTTGATTGTCACGACCAGGCACCGAGGGCGCCAAGATGTGGGCCAAGAGTGGAGAGGCCGGACCAATTTCAACAGACATCCCATCCCTGCCGAGGGAGGTTAAGACGAAGCCGCTGTTCGATGCCACCGTAGGTTCGGCAACGCAGTCCGAACCACGCCGTCAACTGTAGTGTTTTTGATTGCTTCTTTGCAACATGTCCCTGAGCTCAGCCCAAGACTTGTCGAGGAGGGGATTGGTTTGCAGCGGTTGAGAAGATAGTGATACGCCTGAACGTGGCTTTTCCCGGTCAAGCTAACACATCAAGCGAGGAGTTACGGGGTCCTCAAGTGGAGGGCCAAGATTTGTTGCCTTCGTAAATCATCACATCACATCATCAGACTATATCTTATTCAAGTCTTATTCCATTACTGTATAAATTCCATTACCGTATAATTCCATTACTGTGTATTGTACTACGTCATATTGTATTCTCTTGTTTCGTTCCCAGGCTTGGGCCTCTGTGGACTCCCGGCTTGGCCTCGGCGCCGCGGTCGCAGGCGCCGCGGCGGCCGCCGAGCAGCGACTGCAGCTGCGGGAAAAGGCTCTGTCGGGCCGGGTACATAGGTTTTCAGGGGCTTTGAAGGGTTTCGTCGAGTTTTACAGGGTTGAAGGGCTTTGGGTGTCTGGGGTACAAAGTTTCCTGAGTATGCCTGTGGTTTCAGCAGCGGCTCATCACAAATAAATCTACAGGCACTTCTAGCACCTTTCTTTGACCAATCGACATGCACTCGATCGTTTGGCAAGCATTGCCGTGATCGACTAGTGACTAGTCGCAGAAAACGGGGCACAGAGAATTTGACACCAAGGGTCGATGCCACTTGTGCGGGGAGGTCGCAGCCGCAGACCGTCATTTGCAGCTATCGGCCAGAGCGCAGGCACCTTGAGCAACGCAAGCGCAAGCGTCTGAGAGGTCGAAGTAAAGTTCTCGAGTATGCATGATGCCGTTTTTTGTCAGGAGCTGTCGCAAGATTTGCGGACCTTCAAAGATAAGGCCGCTGCTCGGCATGCACTGGATCAGCTTTCTCCGAACTCGCAACCCGTTGCGAGCAACAGCGTGCAGTCGACTCACGGCAGCATGCATAGGTGGACAGATAGGTGAACATGAGTTATGATTCATGATGGTTCGGCCGGAGATGTTTGGCTGGGAAGTGGATGCACTGGCCGCGCATCGGCCACTGACCACTGTGGGAATCGGGCATGACATCCTACATCAGACCATCCTCTGCACTGTAGACTGGAAAACCCTCCAAATCCAGCATTAGTCTTGACCTCCCAATGCTATCTGTCAACCATACCTGCGTCGCATCGGTTCAGATGATGCTGCGTTCGGAGGAAATGCTTGCCGTGAGTTGCTTCACTTGGGCCTTGGGTTTACTTCGCCCGTGTCTACGCCCGGTATGGGCTATCGGAGCAGGTGGGATCGGCCTTGTTTCCAAGGGGACACAGAGATACAGGACAAATATCTTGTAGCAAGAGCTATATTAATACCAGGATTCCCAATGTGCCTCATCCCCGCAGCAGCAGCAGCACCACCACTTCCTTAAAGAAGATCAAAAGACCATGGTCAGCTAGATGGAGCTGAAAAGGGACGCTGAACATGAACAAACACACGCCCGCACGCGATGAAGAATGTTGTCTTCATGCAGGTAAGGCCCACCGCTTCGTGGTTTTCGTGCATGAGGAAAGCGCCATCTTTAGCATTCCTGATCGGTCAGCGCAGACAGATGAGATCTGAGGATGTCCAGCAGGGCCAACTTCTGTCGCGGCTGCTGCTAGCTCAAATTATGATCAGACAGACGGCTGCTACTGGCGACCTGAAGCATTCCAAGATGGCATAGTTCGCCCTCGCGCTTGCGCAGTGCCACAGGAACAAAGCGCTTGTCAAAGCTGCGACGAAGATGGTCAATGCTCGGAGTTTCGCTTCCGCCTCTCGGCGCTGATAGAGGAGAGAATGGGCAAAGGAAAGTAGGCGACAGCATCATGATGGTCAGATTTTGCAGTGCAGTCGGACTTCGATTAGGTGTTGAAAGACCATCGGAAGACAAGGCATCGCAAGATTTAATGCACTGTGCAGCATGGAATCAGACTGTGGACCGCTTCAATGGAACTTGGCCTAGATGGGCACTTCCTTCTCAGGTCGATAGAAGACTGTGATCCCACGCACCAAACATATGCAAAAAGTGTTGACAAGATTAACAAGACAAAGTGAGCACAAACCAATGGTTCAATCGTGCCAGATAGACTTATCAACTAATCCTGCCAAAACATGGGCTCAGATGAGGTGCTGGATCCTCATGCGCTTTGCTGCTATGATGCAGGCTCCCTCTTGAGTGCTTCGCTCTAGATTCACCCGTCCTCCGCATCTTTCACGAAGCTGATGCACAATCAAGCAAAGCCTTCTCTGTGTTCCCAACGGTAAATAAGAAATAAATGGAAACACATACAGACAGTATTCCCAAATCAACCCATGCCCAAGCGCCCCACACCTCGAGTTCCGACCCTATGCTCAGCCGACTTCCCCGGGGTGCGCGGCCTCGTCGCCCTCACGGCAGCTCGGACATTGAGCCTCGGATTTTGGGTTTAGGATGGTGCCCGCTGTGCTGGTGCCTCGGCCGAGACCTTGGTTCTGTACTCAGTGGGGTGCTGGCACCCATCAAGTCCAGGTGAGGGTTGTTTACTTTGGGTTTAGGGTCCGAATCTGAAAAGTCAAGGAGATGCTTTTCTTCGATTTCATGACTCGATCTATCAAGACCTTCGGTTTATCAGCTCCTTCAACAGCGTAGCCGAAAGATTGGCGAGTAAGATAATGCCGTTTTGTGCTTGCTTAGCCTTGTAGTTCCCACCTAAATCTGGGTCCCCAGGTGGATGACGCCCCCTGCCGACAGCGAGATCCTCAGGCTGCGCTCCTTCGGGAGGTCAAGGAGCTGGAAGAGCAAGGGTGGAGACGTCAACCTGTAAGGCCTTCCGGGTAGTGTAGGGTTTCAAGGTCTGTGATGTGTGCTTGTGGGCGCAAGGGACTCAAGGGCCTCAAATGCGAAATGCAGTTCCATGCCTTTGCATGCAGAGGCTCGCATTGTGCACGATGGGCATGTGTGAAAGATTTTGCATCAGGAGGGCCAGCTAGAGAAACGCTATCTC